ATAATAATAATAATAATAATAATAATATAGTGATTCATATAGGATGTTATTAATAGATGATTAAAAAGCGGTGAAGTAAGCACGTCCAATGATAGCCTATGCTTTCTGAATTCATCCACTTTTAAAGAATCTATAAAATAAAGTAATCGAATTAATAAATAAAAATATTAAAGTAATTCAAGTTTTTGTGCTTGCAAATTTTGTTTATTTTTAAATATAAATAATACATATCTTTTTAATGGGCATTTCGTATTTGATTTTTATTTATTTTCTGCTTATTTTAGATTACACAAATGATATTCGACGAGAAGTTATTTCTATATTTAAGTTTAAAATGAATCATAAGATCATCGAGATAAGTGATAATATTAGTGATAGATATATTTAGCTCGCAACAAACTATAACGAATATACAATGAAGTGACATTTGAATATGTTTCATGAAAGAGAGAAAATGCTTGTGTTTTAAATGCGTAATGATTGGCTATCATTAGTGGCATGATAAAAAGGAAATTATCAAAGTTCATCATCTGATATAATTATGCGAGGAATTACTGTAAAACTCAAAGTCCAGTATAATTGGTCATTTGACATTTGAATAAATCAAAAAGATGAAAAGACTTGATAAGTGGATGCATCAGTTGACCAATAACAAAAGATTGACACTGCAGCAATAATAATCCTTTCACGGTTGGATGACGTGGAATGAATTTTATGCGACAATTGATAATAATCATCCCAGTAAATGATAGAAAAAAAGTTTGAAGAAAATTTTTAAAGTGAAAAATGGAAGAAATGAACACTCGCACTATTTGTTCTTCTTCAAATTTCTATAATTATGGTTGAAAAATTAATCGACTTGAGCTATAAAATCTCTTATCAATCTCTTATCAATCGATTATCATTTCTACAGCATGATATCAACTTGTACAAATTCTAATTAATAGGATGCAAAAAGAAAAATGTAAAAATGAAAACGAAAACGCTTTTGAAAAGTTTATTTTAATTCCGAAGGATGAATTTCCATTATATAGAAATAAATAAGTTTATTTCTTGTTTGTAAAAAGAAAAAATGAATTGGTTGTTTTAATCAAATATTTTGATTTTTAACAATATATTATAAGGTTAATTGTAATGATATGATTATTTTAATATTAATTCGCCAAAATTAACGGTTAATATTATCAATTATTAATCATTTCGAATATTATAATTATTTAAGTTATTATTAATCATTCTTAATGTAATTAAAACCCTAAAAAGGTATATTTAAATGAAAATTTTGCCTACTGATTATGTTCATAGTATAATTTATCCTATGTTATCCATAATGTAGAAATGAAAAGCAAAAATAAAAGCCTATGAATGCTATTTGAAACTTTGAAATGTCAGTGATTGGTATTTGAAACTATGAAATGTTATTTTGAAACAAGAAAAAAAAAAAGAAAATCTTAGTTAGTAAAATAAACGTTGTTTTTCACTTCCTCAAACAATCGAAAAATATTGTTTCAGGAAATGAAAAATGAAAAATAAATTAGATAAGAAATGAAGAGGAATGAAAAAAGAGTGTAAGAACATGAAGAAATTAGAAAGAAAAGATAAAAATTTGAAATTTCAAAATTTTTAAACTCTTCATTTAATTTTACAATCTATTTGATTAGAATCTGATAAATGATGAATCGATTTGATATGAGATATATATTCATTATCAGTTTGCAATATCTCATCTCTAACAGTTGCTATCACAATCTTTCTCTTTCCTTACCTTTTCGACTCAGAAGCATTTGAAATTTTATCAATTTGAGATGATTTATTCAAATAATTTCATAATTAATTTTCAACTCCTAATTTTCGATTTCTGATTCTAATGTAATCAAACAAATTTAAAATGGCCACATTTTCAGCTGTCTTCATTGATAGAAGAAAAAAAAAAGAGAAAGAATGATTAAGGAAATAAAAATTTAATATTTTTTTGGTTAAAGATAAAATGAATAATTAAGGATAGATAATGATTTTGTGTCATTATTTGAAGTTCAAAATTTTCTTTTGCTTTATTTTGTTTTATTTTATTTTTTTTTTGCCTCAACATCAAGATGAATTTTTGAATTTGCCAATCACATTTTGAATGAATTTAATGTTAGATTTTGAAAGTTAAAATGGAATTATCACAAAACTGATAAGAAATTTTAATATTTCTGAATACAAACAATGAAAAAGATTCGCTTTAATTTGTTCAAAAAAAATAAAACATTATTTTTAATTTCATATGCAAACATATGCTATCATTTTTCATCCCATATGTTTTGTTTTAGCAATTTTTTTTTTTGTTTCTGAAGTAAAACAAAAATGTTGATGATAATTATCAACAAGACAATGAATCAAGTAAAATGATGGATAAAGGAAAATAATAAAATCAAAAAAAGAGACATAATGATTTTTCAAAACAAAAAAAAAAGAAGTTCTTCCTTGTGATAATATTCATTGCAATCAATCTTTTTGGAAATAAGAAAACGAAAATGTTTATCAGAATGGTTTGATAATATAGATTCAAAATGATTACTGTAAAGCATTGAAGTGATATGAAATCACAACTAATTACACTCTTTGATTGATTCATTTCGTTTTTCAGTTTTTTTTTTTTCAATTTTATATTTATGAAATATTTTATCCATAAGTATTTCAATCAAAGAATAAAAAATTACTTTTTATCATTTATCGTTTCTCTTTTTCCTCAGAAATTTGTAACAATTTCATGTTGATTTCAACAACATTCATTTTTTCTATCAAATATTCAAAAAAAAAAAAATAAAATCTTATAGCATTTTATTTTTGGTATTGAAAAAATGATTTAAAAAAGAAAAAAAACGTTTTAAAGTTTACATAAAGTTAAAATAATTGCTTAAATTTCTAACTGTTCCATTAAAATTTGCTACTTTCAATAATTAATCAAATTGAAACATTCGTCCATATAAATAAAAAGGAAAAAATTTAAAAAGAAAAAATAAAACAAAACAATGTTTCTTTTAATTTTAAAGCATTGAATAATATTAGCATAACAAATATAATATGATGGAAGAGTATGATGTGAATGATAAACCTAACAAATTAATTTAAGAAGAAAAAAGAAACTTCCCAATTAATTATATTAAGAAGCAAATGTTAACATTTGATATAAATTCTTTCAAACAATCATTTATAATTCCAATAAGTATGACATTTGAGGATTATAAAAAAGAAATATATTTGTGGGAGGGATAAAAAAAAGAAAAAAAATTCTAACAGCAATAAATAAAATGTTAGCATTTAAACAAATATAAAGTAAAAAAAAGTTGAAATAATCGTAAATCATCAAGGTCAAACAATCTAATTATTGATAATTATCTAATTAAGGATAAGATTTTAAGAATAAAATTAAGAATAAGATAATTTGATTATTAGTAATGTAAACATAGTTCTTAGCAAGTTTCTCCATTATCGGATACTTTTCAATCGACATGTTAATCCATTCAGATAAACTACATTTCCTCAAAGAAAAAAAATTTCAAATTTCCTCAAAGAAAAAAAAATAAAATTTAGTAAATACTAAATCAATATGTGTAACAATGAAATTAATTCTATCAATGATTTATTTGTAGCTTATCTTCTTTTATCTTAGCGATTGAAAATTAACTTTTTTTTATTGGTTCATAATTAACACATCTGTTCATTGTGGTTATCATTATATCAACATGTTATATCACAATGGCTTTAAGCTGTTTTTATACTTAACCTATTGGTGGAAATGTAAAGAAATAAAATTAATTTTTATGCTAAGCGTCTAATTTCGAAGGTTCAAGTTTTCCCAAAATCCACTTATAGATTGACTGGGAATTGCTTTAGATATTCCAATCATTGAAATTATCTGACTGATTCATAATCACCAAGTTTTCTATATTATACATATGATACTGAAATTCCAATCGCATATCAATCGAATACAATCATTCTCTTACTCTTACATTTGGGACACTTTTACTGTCACATATGGGAAATATTTATTATCTGAATTATTTATGATTCAAGTATCTACGTTATAAAATATATGGAAATTTCTAAGATTATTATATTTTCACTTCTCGTCTTCTTTTTCTATCCCCAATTTTTAATTTAAATCCCTCAAAAATAGGTCGAAATGTTGTGGTAAACTTTTCAGATATCAAAAGAATGACTAATCTTCAAAATGTATCAGAAAAGAAAGATTTATACCAAAGAAACGTTGACATTTGCACTGCCAACTAATATGCTATTCAGCAAAAGTTGCATCAAATTCCTAATTACTTCCAGAACGAATTATAATACTTATCATGATGGATCAAAGACTTATTTGCGAGTTAATTTCATCCAGTTATACTAGTACATCACATGAGTTATATATTTATTTAAATTAAAACTAGTATATGAAAGTGAATTATCAATTTTCTTCTGCTCTTTTATTTACCTGTAAACATTTTGATGAAATCGATATATGACAAAGAGAAGATTGGAAGATCTGTGATCATAAATAGAAGATCTCACTTATTGTTATGTTCTCCATAATCGGACTTCACCTGTAAAGAGATGATACGATGCAATGTCAACAGCTAATGATGAACTTACTCTACCCCTCGTCCGTACTCTGAATATTGAGTTCCTGGTGATGATACATATGTGCTAAGTCTGAAGCTAAGCAAAAATAATGTATTTCAGTTTTCGAATCCATTCAAATCAGATAATATTGGCTGATTTTTGGTTTGTCACTGTAAAGTGTCAATTATGGAATAGCAAATGGATATATCAATTTTTATAAAATTATGCTACAATGTATGTCATTGCATTGACAACATTTTTGACATATCATTTAGCTTCTTTGTTTTGATTTAAAATATATCTGTTAAACAATAACAAAAATTTGAAAGAAAAGAAACGCAAAATGGGAACTTGAGAAAATGTCAAGGAAGCCAAGTAATAGTCATAGGATGATGTCCCATAATAATTGGGCTTCATTTTTTACATAATTCTCCAAAGAAGGGTAAGAAAAAAAATAATTTCTTTCTGTTTACTCTTTTATTCTATCTCTTTTTCTTAATAGTTAAAACAGTATTAATTGAAAGATTCTATTTCGCATTCATTTTATGTATTCCTTAGAATGGAAATTTAAAATTAATTGGGGTCAAAGGTGAAAAAACTCTGATTTTTCTATGAATATTTTACAAAAAATTAGTGCGATAACTGAATTACTGGAATTCTTTTTTGAAAAAATTGAAATTGAAAAAACTGAAATTCCTTTATTCACTTTTTGATAGCATTTATAAATTGCACTGTCACTCACCACTGACTTATTGTAGCGAAATTTCCGCTAATGCGTTTAATTTATCAAATGGATAAACTACGGTTAATACGCGAACACTCTTACCGTATGCTCCAAGACGATAATTCCATTTTCTCCCAAATAAACTTTTTAATGAAACATTTCATTTCATAATCGTTGAGATGTTTAACAATACTGACTATGTTCTCTGATATTTTATAGCTAATAAACAATTGGTAAATGGGTGGCATTTGGGATAACAAAAAGGAACCGATCTGTTCGTAACCTGTACCACCATGAACGGACAGTAACAGAAAGAAGAGATGTTGACCGATATCCATCTCATTTCCATCTTTTAATTTGTTTTCACTTTCGTCCCAAAATCAGAATTCAGGAATGATTATTTAAAAATGAAGATAATTATACCAGGTTTCATTTTTTTTTTTTTTACATAAATATATCACAAGGAAGAGTTACGTAAGGTTCAAAAGAAAGAGTAACGTAAACGAGTTTAATATTACATTTTTTGTAAAAATAGAGAAGACTGACGACACGAAAGGCAAAAAGAATTTTCAAATATCACATCCCCGGAAAATTTCGTGTCATTTTTTCCCTTCCACTCAATTGCTCATCCGATCATTACGAGTTAAACTCAATTTGAACTACTACAAGTATCGTAATTAAGTATTCATTTGGTATTTTATTCTTGATTCAATATATCATTTTTTATACAAGTAACAGTAAAAATATAAAAATTTTTAAAATCAAAAAGTAAAAATAAAGAAAAGAATTTTTGATTGCATCCGATATTTACTGAGTTCCGTAAATTTTCAAATATATTTCATTTTACCTCGATAAACCTAATTGAATTACTTGCAGAAATGAATTGAAATTGAGACGAAGAGTAAATGACTTAAATAAAATAATTCAAGTTGACATAACAAAAGTTTTTGGTAGAACGATTTGTTGAATCGGAAATAACTTCCAGCAACATATAAACTGATGAAATATTTTATTGTGGCACTGGCAATGACATATTAATTGTTCATATCAATTGTTACTTTCGGGTTTATAAAATTTTTCGATAATCAATGGAATCGACCATTCCAATAGCGATGATTTCAACAGTTCATTTTTCTTCTCCTTTTCGAATTTCAGAATTCTGCGACACAACCAGTTCAAGTACGCCTGATTGCATTACCCGTTATATCATGGCTAATTTACCTGGTGCGGTTCCCTAAATCCGTTATTTCCACTCTACGATTAAGATCATCACTGTAATGCTATCTAAAATGATACTTTTCATTAATGCTACCTAAAATTTCGATATTTCTGATTCCGTTGACACATCACATAATAGAACGGTTTTTTAAAAAAGGGCGAAGGGAACATTATTACAGGAGTTTACTATTGCTGTTAGGAATTTTAAAATAGTAATAGCAGTGGAATACCGTTGTTTAAGTGTTATCAGTTAATTGTTTTATGCTAATTTGCAATACGAGAAAGTTAAAGAAGATGGAAGATTCGATGTACTCAAAGTAATTGTTAATAATAAAAACTTTATGGTAGAACTACTTGAACCTTTATTAGAATGGTACCAAGAAAATAGAGAAACTTATTGGCAGCATCAGCTAATTTTGGATTGATTTTCATGATATAAATAATATGTTAAATGGAATTGATTTGTTATAATGAATTAATTTAAAGATTGACATTTCTTTCAAGGAAAGAACAAACGTCGCCCAATTAGTGGTAGCAGTCAATCAGATGGCGGTTACAGCAGCGAGCGGCATATACCGTAGTGCAGTGGCGACAATGGTTTGTTTT